ACCTGATACACACACATACATACATGCTTTGCATCAGTAGTACAGGGAAAGAAAAAGAAAATCACTGAAAACTATGCGCTACAAAACAAACGCAAACATGGAGAGTATATTTAGTAAAGCTGTATTTATGGTAGCAATGGAATCCAGATCTTGTGTTTCTTTCTACTTTGAACTTGTTAGCTGAAGACATACCATATCCTAAGGTTGATGTTCATGCACAATGAAATTTAATTCAAGTGCCTGTAATACAACCCATCACTAATAGTTAAGAATATAGTTTGGTAAAAATGAAGGAATGAATGGATCTGCATCAGTGTAATCGATTTTTTCCCAGTTCATTTATTATCTATAATAATTGATCACAAATATTTTATGAACTCCACTGATGAAATCTACACCTGGTAATGTCGTGGCTCAAACTGTCAGTAAGTGACTTCATATCATACCGCATTTTTCAATCTACTGATATACTAGTCATTATTTCATGTGTGGAGCTGATTGGCGATTAGGTTTACGTAACATATGTGTTCTGATCAGTTTGACTAATAAAGTTTCACGACTTGATCAACTGCCTTATCACTTTCATATTTAACTTCATCTCTAAGCCCATAATTAATCAGTGATTTCATACGGGAGCAGTACTTCAAGGGCAGCTAACTTCAGGTACTTGTAATTTATGTATATCTTCTGTTATCGTAAGCCATGTTTCGCAACTGTAGAGTGACATAGAGCGAACTGGGGTTCAAAGTACCTATCCTTTAATAGGCAGACAGGTATTGCAACAGTTCTACATATGACTTAAGTTGGGAACAGTCATAGGGGCCTTTTTATTCATACTGACATTTTGTCTATCACTGGAATCATCATGCAGTCAAGTTACTCTTATTGTTAAGTCTGATTTTTCAAAATCAGTTGAAATAGTTAAGTTTTTTCTCCTATTCTCTAGTCGAAATATTATTTATTGCACTTTTACTGTCCTGAGAATAGATTTTATTTTATTCCACTCCAAAGTGGTTTTTCTTGTATTCATTACTAACAATCAAATCGGTTCTCATAATTATACTGTTACCCAAAAATTTAGGTAACGGAGATGGGGATAGTACTTACTTACGCCTGTTACTCCTCGTGAAGGAGCATAAGCCGCCCACTAGCATTCACCATCCAACCCTGACCTGAGCAATCCCTTCCAGTTGGTATTCATCTTTTTCATATCTCATTCTATTTACCGAAGTGATGTGTTCTTTGGTCTTTCTCTTTTTCGCTTCCCCTTCAGAATTCCAAGTTAGGGCTTGCCTCGTGATGCAGTTTGGTGATTTCCGTCATGTATATCCTATCCATTTCCATTGTCTTTTCCTAATTTCCTCTTCATCTGGAAGCTGGTTTGTTCTCTCCCACAAGACTGTTGCTGACTGTATCCGGCCAATGGATGTTGAGTATCTTGCATAGACAACTATTTATAAATACTTGTACCTTCTTGATGGTGGTTGTTGTAGTTCTCCAAGTTTCAGCTCCGTTCAGTAGAACTGTCTTGATGTTCTGATTGAAGATTGTGACGTTGATATTGGCTGACAGACAGTTGTTTTGAGTTCCATATGTTGTTCAATTGTAGGAATGTGGCCCTTGCTTTGCCAATCCTCGCCTTTACGTCTGCATCTGAACCTCCTTTTGGTCATTGATTAGAAATAAATATCATACTTGTTGAACACGTTTTCAGTGGCTATCATGACGTAGTAGAGTAACCTAAGGAGGATAAACTAGCTTTTGAAGTGATATATATGCTTATTGGATCCAAGTTTCTTATTGAACACTAGCTGTGTGTTCTAAATATAACCAGGTGATGACAAATCCTAAATGGGACATAACACATATTTAGAATTCTGCTTCTTGTCACTATCCTAAATTGCATGCATAATTGTTTATGTTTCCTGTGTGTTGTGTTTGTCAAATTACAATGGACAAATAATTCATGTAAAAGAAGAAATCTGTTATTACATTTTTTTACTAAAACAAGAAGCTATTCTCAATTGATCCATTTTATTAGTTCACCATAGTGTATCACGTAATATTGATTAGCGTAAAGTAATTTAATAGCCTAAATGAATGTATGTGCATATATTTGTTACATGTAAAATTTAATATATTTTCTGATTAAATACTAAAAACAAGGTGTATTCTGAGCACAATTATTGTATCATTCAAATAAACCTCGTAATTTATGAGTATTCTTTTAAAGTAGATAAATGTTCAATATAATATTTAGGTTTTAAATCTTTTACTCTAATCAAAACTGCTATTTTCATACTTTACTCTCATGATTAGTAATTGTAACGACTCAACCTGAAAGATATTGTTTTCTGTAGTTCCTCTGTTTTACCATGTGTGCAGATTTACTGGTTAGTTGTGGCGCGAAAATATATTTAACAATCCAGATTCTAGAGTGATATCCTACGAATAAGTGTAATGGCAATAAAAATTAATTTAACATCGATAACTAACTTCCCTAATGGTGTTGGATCTTCAGAGTCAGAATAACGTATCGAAATAAGTCGGTTTTAAATAATCTACCACATACTCTTGGTTCCTCTATATTTGTTTCCTGGTACTAATAAGTGCATCTACTCATGAGTAAAAATATTCAATCAATCAGAAACAACAATTGTTCTTTTGGATCCCAGATCAATGAGTTTATCAACACTTCTGTTTTCCAAATTGAACTAGAATCGTGGGGATTACTATCAAAACAGAGAGATTTGTTCCTTATACTAAACTACTGTTAACTCTCGTATGGATTAATTTGGCTTGAGTTGTATAACAGTAGTTTAAGTGAAACAAGTTCGAATTTCCCTGATAAAAACAATTTCTTCAAGATTGGGTATATATATATACATATATGCCTTACTAAAAAGTTGCTAACTAGCATAAAATACAAAACGGGTTTAAGGTTTCTTGTCGATTGTATTCAAGCAGCGACCCTCTTAATATTTATTAACTGATTTGCATTCACTTCATAGAAAACTATTCTGGGTAGTGTTTAGACACGCGTTTGGGAAAAAACAGGCTGTGTAAAACCATTATACCACACTCCCTTTCAGGTTCAAGTAAACTTGTAGATATACATTGAAGTGGCCTAAAACTGTAGTTCATCTTTGACACATCGTTGGATTAGATATCTACTAGAGAATACAATTCATAGTTCATCTGAACAGAATATCTTTCTCAATGATTTCGACAATCGAATTCTCAAGATCTCTACAGCCTCATATCTACCAGTTTTCCGTGGCTAAAGCATGTTATGTTGGTCACAGTAAAGATTCTCTTTCCAGAAGTATATTGAAACATATCCTGGTATGATTGCATAAAGGTGATTGTAAATCAGTTAATAGTTCTATTATTAAACACATGATCAATTCCGTTAGTTTATAATCTCCACAGGAATGTTCTTTGAAAAATCTATTTTCTTTTCTAAACCAACTTAAAGTTAATAGTTTAGAGCGAATAAATCCACCCTCTAATTTTATTAATTTTTCCAATCAGATATAGCAGGGTTTTTTTTTATATTTTCGTTTACCAAGCAAGAGAACCGAACTATCTCTTGGCAAAACTGCTGGTATTCCTTCTTCTGTCTTGTCTGGATTACTGTTATTATCATTATTATTCATGTGTATTTGTGTGTGTCCATCCGTTCGTGTATCTCCTTTTCATCCTCTGTCTAAGTTATTCATAGTAATAAGCTTTATTATTATTATTTAGGGAATGGAATGTTGAAGAAAAGTAGAAAAATTTTGCTTCCTTATAGACAGATATTCATGTAATATATAGATAGATGATTATTGGAATTATTTATTTGCCAAACTTTTTAAACACTTGAGGAAAATAAAATAAAACATTTTAACCTAACATGTCGTTCATGATTATTATTGTTAACTCGGTTCTTTTCCTTTGGTAAGTCGGGTAGAGATTGTATAACTATTATGTTATTGACTGACGAAAAGCGTTCTTTTTGAGAAAGTTACATAACGGTATATATATACAACCTAAAGTGTTTTAGTTAAAACAATATTTTCTCTTTTCTGAATGACTTATGATTTTTTTTATGTGGGGATCGCTGTAGGGAGGAGACTTAAGTTTACGGACATTGACTGATATGTGTAATTAACTTTTCATTTCTGTTTAAAAAATAGCTACGTTTATCACTAACAAGTTATCGTATTCAGTTTTTTCTTTTGCTTTGATTCGATGATAATGTTGTCAACTTTTTGTTGCTTTAATTACTGCTTCTTCAAAAAGTTTGATAATTTCAATAGGCTCTTTATTTATCGTTAAATGAATTAGTTTGAAAAAATTTAATTTTAAAATATATACAGTTAATTACAGTCATTGGATTGTAACCAATGTTATGTTTGTCTAGTCCTTTTTAGTATTGATTTAATTCATAATATCAATTTGCAACATAAACACTAGCCCAAGTAACTGGACATCAATGCAATATATTAAGGTGTTGAGTAATTGGAGATAGTCGACAGCATATCATGAACCTAGGTTTCCCACCACCTAGCTTTCATCAGCAACGATGTTGAGTCACTTGCACTAGTGGCTTCAGTTCGACTACCTACAATCACGTTATATATAATTGCTTCTCTCAGATGCGTTCTATTTAAATTTAATATCAAGAGTTCTGTTGTTTTTTTATTTGCAGACATTTTCCTTCACTTGGATCGTGTCGATCAACGTATTCACGAGAAATAAACTAACGTTTAAATATTTAAACTAGAAATGAGTCTTGTTCATAGTTATTAAATTAAATGCATTGCCTATTTTATTGTGTTGAGATCTTAATGTTCAAAATATTCCAACCAGTAGGTCGTAGATTCAATCTTCACATTTTTCACTTCGATAACGCCTAAGATCGTAGTAATTACTCTAAATCGAACGCTTATATACATTTAAACCCTGTTTTTGGTTTGTGAATTACATTTTTTCGCATGCTTTTTTTGTTACAGAACGAGAAGCAAATCCGAATGAGCCTTCATCGTTACGTGATACTTTTACAGAATCTGATTTTACTAAAACAACAACAATATCATCTATGCATAATGCGGTTACATTGGATGGTTGTGATACAAAAAATTTTGATAAATCTAACAATCAAAAATATTCTTCAACCTTTAATCATCATCATCATAATGAGACGGCTTCAGAAACAATGAATTCATCTTTGCATAATAATACAAATAATTCAAAATGTCAAAATAATAAAACGGATGATACATGTAAGGCGTCGATAACCACAACAATGTCTAATAAGTCTAATTTCCATAAAGATTCCATTGTTTATTCCTCTCAGTTAGACATTAGTAATAATAATAATACTAGCTCTCCTGGAAGTGAGAGTTTTCTTGGTAGTTTCGATGGTTGTGGTAGTGGAGGCGGTGACGGTGGTCGTGGTGGTTCTTCCACCTCTTATCTATCACCTGCTTCATCTTCCGCTAAAGATTCAAAAACAGAAGAGGATCTAGAAGAAGAAAAATACTTGAACAATAATAATAACATTGACAATTGTAACAATAAATCAATAATGAAAAATCACAATTCTTACCATCATCAACAATTGTCGTCTAGTCCTAAAATTTTAACAACTCATCTAATACAAAATAAATTCAATCCACATCCACTAGCTACTATTAATCAATCACTGAGTGTCACTACTAACAATAAAACTCATCATAGTAATGATAATAATAATAATAACGTGTGTATTCACAAAAATGAAACTTGCAATGTCTGTGATCAAACTAGTAATCATTTAAATAATACTTGTAATATAAATTGTAAAATTAATTCTACTCCGTCAGTTAATGAATCTCCTGTTTATGATAATTGTATACCAGATATTATTAATTCAATAACGGCGACAACAACAAATCATCATAATCCAGTGAAATTATTGACTACTACGAACAATTGTAAACATTCACAACATCAATTACTGTCTAATAATAATAATAATAATAATAATAATAATAATAATAATAATAATAATAATAATAATAATAATAATAATAGTTTTAGGCAAATAAATAATGATCATATTCATCAGTCACCACGTATGACGACATCAGCAACTAATCATAGTCCAGTTTTCACAATGAATGGTATTAACAAACCTTGGAGTTCTGTAGATGGTTATAATACGTCACGTATTGTAGTTGGCACTACAATAAAAGAAGAAGAAATTGAAAGTGAAGAATTCAATTCATTGACAACATTTCAATCATGTACTACCGAACAGGAGAATTTAAAAAATTCTACTTCTAAAAAATCTTCTGATCAACAAAAACTTATGAATTCATACAATCATATCAAAGATCCTTTGAATTTACCAGTTCAATTAGGTCCACATCTTGCAGCCGCTGTTGTACAAGCATCTGATGAAACTGGAACAGCAACTGCTGATCTAGTCGCTGGTTTAGCTGAAGTTCGTCGACGACCAATTGATGCTAGAAATAGACTTCGTCGACTTGGTTTAATGCAAACACCAGATAATGGGAATTTTTATGAAGAATTATCATTTAATAATAAAGTCAGCAATTCAATATCAAATCGTTTATCTTTACCAGCAAGTATTAATCTCCCACCGCATTTATGGCATAGAGCTACACAATTTTTAGAAGAACCTATGTCAAGACGTGAGCGTCGATGTTCATTAGTAAGTGTCTTTGTTAATATTCTTAAGGCTATTTTTAGTAGTTAGAAATTTATAAAAACAGGACTTGTATATTATTAAGTTTCGAAATCATACTACGATAATCGAATATACGTCTAATTACTTTTTAATCAGTTTACACTGGACAGGTTTTTGCACTCTCTGTGAAATTAAGAAGCATAATAAGATCCAAACCATTAGCTTTGAATTTTTTGATCAATATTTGTAGCTACAAATGAAGATATGTATCATGCATGTTTTCACCCACTACGCACTGTAACCTATATGCTTTATGCTTCATTGTAACTGGTATTCATAAATTAATAGCAACTAAAAAAATCCTTGAAAACCTGCTTTGTACATTGAACAACTATTTTGTATGAATTGAAAGATATCTGCCGAAATAGAACTTAATAAACTTCTTTAGAATGGATACACCGATTTGATTGTATATAGTTTCGTCAAACTTGAGTTGACCGTCTTTCGTGCACGTGCATTTAAGGACCAGTTATTCACAGTTTGTTACTGACTGATGAAGGTAGGCAGTCAAAATATTGGCAAATTATGCTTATAATCTCAAAAAGGGGTATTTTTGTAAACTAGAATGATACATCAAACGAAACCATTGACTAACCAGAGATATGAATATAATTCTCTGTCAGCAAAATGGAATAAATCTTTTAAAGTACATTGCAATTAACCGTTGACTAATCGATTCTAGTTTTTAATCCAATCAACTAACCAATATTTTTACATGATCATCGTTGAAACAGTTGTAGATTAATGCAACCAAAGTTACAACGAAATTAATTATGAGTATGGGGATTTGTGGAGATTGTAATATTTTCACTGTTGAATTCACGAGTCGTTCTAGGTTAGACCACCATTGAAAATCTGGAAGCACTGGACGACCGTTTCGTTGTAGTATGGGACTCGTTAGTAGTGTGCTTTCACGGTCCCGTTCTCGAGACCAAAGATCCTGGGTTGAAGACCCGCGTGCAGGGTTGTGGATGTACACTGCTGAAGAGTTCCATACCAGAGCGAAACGGCCGTATATTGCTTTCAGGTTTTCAATGATGATTTAGCTTAAATCGACTCGTGAATTCAACTGTGGAAGTAGATTATTCTATTTGTAAGCATAGACAATGTAAATGAAATAAAAATAGAGACAGTTATTTAATATTCAAAATACCTCATCATCATTATAAAATTGAAAGTTTGACTTATTAACTGCCGTCACTTCGTTTTTCCAATCTAACTTAATTTATCAATAGCAGATAATGATTCATTTCCATGTGTGTGTGGGCATGTTTACAGTCGACAGTGTTTATCTGTATGACTAATGACTGATTATTGTATATGAATAAGCCAATTTTAGTTACTCCTTTCACTCTGAATCCATTTATCAAGGTTAGATTATAGTATATTCTGTGCAAACTTTTAATAGATAAATAAGCCAACTTCCTAAATGCTAGTTAACTTATTCAATGCATAGTCGTTCATATTTTCATTCAACGATTTCTTATCGTTCAGTTATCTGAATTATTACTTGTTTACTTAAACAAAAAATTTTTTGTTAAATCACGACGATAATTGTTATTTTTACAAGTGTATTCGTTATTTTTATTATATGGCTGTAAGTAATCAGTTTGTTGATTATGATACTATCTTCAATGGGTTAATCAATCAGTCATAAATATCATTAGGATCTGTGCAAATGTATCGTCGAGAATGTGAAATCCCTAAATACAATTTTAATAAGAAGAAATTCAGTAAAAGATTGTATAGTAATTTTCATTGTGATTTTTATTCAGTTAATGTTTGTATTCATTGAGTATGAACTACGTTCATTTGATTTGCATTTGATTTTTTCATTATGTTAATTAATTGAATGAACATGAATGTAATTTGAATTCTTCTGGGATCTTTATCATACAAATCTTCTTTGCATGATTTATATTTTGAGGTCATCAAGGCTAAGAGAGAAAGAAACTACTGCATCTGGATTCGAAGTATTGTTAGAGTAATTGCCGTTACCACAAACCATATTACTGTACATTGGTTCAAATTAACATACACAGCTGAATTTCAAAATAAGTGGAGTGACCAACACATTGAACTGATTAGTTCAATTTACTTAGGTTAATTATTGACACGAATGTGTTTTAAAGCTATATTTTGCATATTGTAGCGAAGAAATCCATCTCAAATATTCATCTGTTCTTACTCCACAACGTTCGAAAGACTGGATTTCATTGACATCTTGATCAAACAGGATTATGTTATTTGTGTTATCCAAGTTAGTAAAATTATCTCCAGCTGGGATATCAATCCTTGTGAAGTTAATCAATAAAATAGTCACTTACATAATCATATCTATGCTAAGATCAAATAGAAAATGGGAAGTGTGAGTATTCGTGACGAATGAAACTTAACGTACCGAAGTTAGCTAATAATGCAGCGCAAGCTGTGACCCAACCAAGAATGTTCAAAGAATCTACGCATAAAGTCTGATGAAACTGAGCACCAAATGGTATGCATAAAAAAAACGAGATGATTTCGTTGAGAAATAAACAAGGAAAGAGAAGTATCATCAAAAATAAGTGAGTAGATTAGTGGATTAGAATTGGGATATAGTAGACTATACAGTTCAGATAGAAATATAATTCACAAGGACTTATTCCAGTTAAAGGATTTCCTCTCACTTCTATGAAGAAATGAAGCTACAATTTCTGTTCTAAACTATTTCCGATAATATCTCAAGTCACTAGACCGACAGACATCAACATGGAGTCTGGTACAGATGTACGTTGGCCCAAGTTGTCATACCTGATTAGAGCAACAAGATAAAATTATCAAAAGGGATCGAATTAAAAAGTACATATCACTGATATCAGAATGCACAGTGATTGTTGGCCTGTGAATACTGTACACTGGTACACATCTGTGTCAAGGACAATCGTATCTCGACTGACCAATATGATATGTATATATATGTTCATGTGCTGCTTTGGGCCAGGTACATAGATCCATTTATTTAAGCACATTTCTCAACACGTTAGAGAACGTTTTCTTAAATCATTAAGTTGTAAGACAAAATAAATATGACTAACAAATTGCATCATGCTATAACCCACCAGTGTACATGGATTTTCGGTGGTCGATGAATACTCAATGGATTTAAAACTTGGAATACTAGTCAGTTCTATATTTGTTATAACGGTATTAAAATGTGCTCGCAAAAAGTAATTCCTACTGATTACCTGTGTAAGTTCGAACAGCTGTTGTAAGAACACACAGTAAGTGAGTAGTGCAAGTGTTGGCGGGCTTACTGTGAATGAGTGTTTTATTAATCTGGCCAAGGTCATCACCCACATGTCTTTCTGTTAATCAGCCCAGTAATTGTATACATATTACATCTGTGGTCCTTCAATACTGTATTGTTGAAAACTTGTAATCATGTTAATTATTGTAATCAATAGAACGTACTTTTTTAAAAGAAGGGTTATTTATCACATGTGATCACCTAGGTGTGTTGTGTTTTTAACCATCATCATCTATTTAAATCTCTTGCATTACATTTGACTGAAGTAGGATTTTAGTAGCATGTTTAGTTTTTCGATATGGTTTTTCTTTATCTTCCAAAAAATGTTCTTTAAGTGCTACAATTGTTTAGTGGTTAACTGTTTCAATTTCAATCATTGACTTATAAACGGTATATATATATATATATATATATATATATATATATATATGGAGAGAGAGAGAGAGAGAAAGAAAGATTAACTACTACTGTTCAAATCCACCTATCAGCGTAAAATGAGGACAATATACTTTTTCGTTTGGTATCGATTGTGTCATGTGCTTTAGTAACTATACACATGTTTAACGCTTAATCAATTAGCACTAGAGAGAGAGGAATAAAATGATACTGACCGTATAGTATTTACAGCTCACGCATATCATGCAGATTGTCAGCTATGGGGACATTTGGAGGTGATGGCGATTACCTTGGTTGGATGAATAAATCCTTTATTCATAATCGTCCCTTTCAATTACCCTACGGTTTTACAACACTATATGATCTATTCAATTGGTGATATGCAACTTGGGAGGATGATTTCGTTGGAGTTGCGTTCCCTGAGTTGGATATTTTAACCGTGAATTTTTCATTGTCTATCTAGACACGACAAACTTGAAATAGAAGTTGAGCTGTTCGAATTTCTGCATATTTTCCTGACAGCTTTTTCAGTCAGTCAGTTGATCTTATGAAACAGCTTGTCTTATCGACCTCGATTTTGATTGGTTGTTGTTGAGCTTTGTCCTGTCATAGTTTTTATTTTTATCTCAAACATTATACTCTTTGACCTGATTCTACATGTTTTTTTTAATGGTTGATAAATTGAATCAATATTGATATATTTCTGATTCGCTGATTAATCTAAGCACCAAGGTTCTAAAAATCCTCTGGTTTTCTTTGTATTTTCTCTGTCTAAGATTTCAACGTTTTCCCAATAGAAAATGTGTCCATAATTGTCTCTGCATGAACTGATAAAAGTGAAGATTGATCGTGGTGTTCAACAACTAGTTGATGTTCGTGCTGGTGAGGATGAAGAAAGTAGCCACTTTATCGCAGTCGGAGCACTTTAATTTGTGGATAATGTCTGACTGTTCTTCTTTGTAATTTCATCCATTGGTTTGCATAAGATTAACTGAGGTGGTTTTACTGGTTTATACTCTATTTCTATTCCAACTCAGTCAGTCAGTCAGCTACAACATACGACCAGGCACAGATATATGCTCGGTCTAAGTTGCCACACCTCATTAGCACAAAAAGATGAACACCGAATTCATAGAAATAGTTACTTCCATGATAGTAAAAAAGATTTCATATAAGGATATGCTACAGGGAGAAAGAATTAGTTTGTAGGAAGAAAGGCGTAGAGTAATTTTAACCTCACTGTTTAAGGGAAGATAAATAGTGTATAGACCGTCACCATTGTGATGGATTCTGAGCCATATCACCCAGTCTCCGAGCATTGGTTACAATAGTCACGTGGATCCCAACCAAGTAGTCTGCATCTACCAACATGGCTGAGACCATAAGTTAGTGACTTTGTGTACTGATGCTACGTTCTGGTTTGGCCACCCCTAACTTCCTTCCAACCGTCTCCAACGCTAGTGAGTATTGTGCGTCGTGGTAATCGGTGTTCAGGTATGTGTAACACGTGGCCCAACCATCTCAGTCGATGAAGATTTACAACCTCATCAACTGATTTACGATCATTCCCTAATACCCTGTGTCTAACCTCACTATTGTCTACCTGATGACCCCAGCAGATGCTGTCAATATTTCTAGGATATCTGTGATCAAATACTAGTGACTTACGAATATCTTGTACTCTTAATGGTAATGTTTTTCAGCCGTAACGTAGAACAGAATGAAGTGCTGCGCAGTCTATTTTAACTAACATCAATGACCTTTCAATTTCTAAAATGTTCATTATTGATTTACACGTTTAATTTCGTTCATGCTTACGAGTTTGATACATTTATTTTAACGTACTTTAAATAATTCTTTTCAAAAAGCAGTCATTTAAAATTTTACTCCATTTCCTAGTACTATAGGTGTTTTTCTTTGTGTCTGTTTAGCTTTACTTTACATACCATAATAAAAGCTTTTGATAATGATCAGTTGGTATAGTATGATAATCGACGGTAAAAGTAATCGAAAAACTGTTGAGGATTGGATAACAACAAATTACTTCCCTTTTCTCCAGTGGCTTGCTACATTTTAATGAGCCATATAAATATCAGTATACTACATTTGACAAATACGACACTTATACACCTTTTTTTAACGTAACTGAAATTAAAGTGGGAAACATTAAACGAAATGCTTTGCAAATTAATGCAAAGCATTCGGACAAACTACCCAATAAGATTGTTGTTGTGGTATTAATGTAGTATGATTAATGAAAACCAGAAGTATAATTCTATTCCACCATCTCTCCAAATGTATACAAATAAGAAGTAAATTTTCTTATGAAAAAGTCCATTTTCATCTTGCAAAACTCATTTATTTTATTAACGTGAATTCAACATATTTTTCACTTTTTGTTGTTGTTCTCTTCCTTTGTTCTAAAATCATGTAGCGAATCACGTGCATAAATTGTGTATGTTATAGTCTGTGCACGTACATCTATGGTGTATTAGCTAGTAGCTGTCAGTCGATAATCGTATTTTGTTCCATATCTATCAGCTATTTAAAATATTCCATAACATAAAAGGATGAATAATTATTAAATTGTTGTGGGTGCACAATGCTGAAAAGTTCTATATTAGGATGAAACGGACGTCCAGTGCTTCGTAGTTTTCAGTAGTGGTCTAGCGAAGACCATTTCGTGGTTTAAACTATGAATATTTCATGTCAGTTAAAGTTTTCGAATTCCATTCAAATGAAAACTTAACACTCATTATGTTCATTGGTATAATATTGGTTGATCCAGACTAACTGGTTGGTATCCGCGCGTTAACAATAACCAGTGTTCGAGAACTTTTAGTGACATCATAGCTCATAATCGTTCCTTATTGCAGAGGTGTATTTATTTTATCTTTCTTTCACTCTTGTATTTTAGTATTCCTGCATAAATACTTTTCCGCTCTGTCCTCTTAAACTATGTTCTAAATTTCCAGTCATTTACATTATCATTGACACTACATTACTCCCATCTTTTTGCTATTCATCTTGTTAATTTAATCTTGTTGCCGTGCTGATATGATATGAAAACTTGGGCTATCGCTTGTCTGTACCATACTCTACGTTTATAAGTGACTATTACATTTTGTGTGATTGTTATTCTCTACACCTGTTTGTAACAATAAACTTTGTAGGTTTTTATATTGATGCATCATGAAATTCAACAGAGTGATTATCTTTAATTGCTTATCTTGTGATTTAGTGTTTCAAGATAATAAGTTTGGTTTCTTTAAAATCTTTCTCAGAAAGATAAATTACTATATTCAAAGATAAACTATTCAAGAATCGATAGAAAGCTGTCACGCAAACGGTGCATGTTTTAAATTTTATTTGTTATATGAAGAATATTCAACAATATATATATATATATATATATATATATATATATATATATATATATATATACTTATTCTTAATTAGTACTTTTTAATAGTTTACTTACATATTTACATGCACACATTAATCTTTCTCAAAAACCCATATCTACTTACGATGATGTATTTTTTGAAATTATTATTATTATTGACTCGTTTATCAAGTAACAATTCGTGTATTTGACTTCAAGCCAATGTACAAGTAAATTGGCTTTGGGTGACCACTTTCGACGTGCATATTAGGATTATTGATGCTGTTCAATTGCTTAAACTGAAGTAGGTAAAGCACAAAGTTCGAACATTTGACCTGGTGGTTGAAATTTAACCTTAAACATCAGTAGTTCCTTGTGTTTGAACGTCTCTCCGGTTATTTCAGTTTAGACAGTTAATATTACTACCTTCTTTCTCTCTCCCTCTCTCTCCCACGCACACTAAACACCCTACTCAAAGCCGATTTACGTAAACCTATGTTTTTAGTGAATGATTTTTATTAACTTTAAATCATAATGTTTATCAGCGAACAAACAGATCATTCAAAATGATAAATTTTTATCGACTAAAAGAGTTTAGATAATGTTTTAATTACTTTTAAATAATCCCTAATATTTTTACATAACAGTTAAATTGAATAATAGTAGTATAATCAAAATAAATCTCTTAATAATCTGGTTTATTTTTTCTAACAAAACTATTGATTGCCAAACAGTAGGTTAAGAAAATACATATCGATCTTTATTCTTTTATGTACCCTACTCTGACTGGTAATGTTAAATCTTTTCCTCGTTGCTTTTAAAAACCAATCTCAGATATAGTCAGTTGATCACTGATTTGTTGGTTAATACACATGGCTTTCAATGATTCAGGTGAAAGTTCGAATCTTACCATAGGAACCTTGTGGCTTGCAGTGGAATACATACACTTGATATATGCATTACTATTACTGAATAAGTTATAATTCCAAAAGAGTGACTCATACAATTACTTATTCATTCCTAGCTTGTATCTCTGTTTATCCATTGAACTTGTAACCATCTAGGATAGAATTTCTGTGGTGTATAAATCTCATGTATTTTTTGCACGTCTTTCATGCAGTTATTGTGTTGTTATTTTTATGATTATTTAGTTCTTTACACTTTTAATTAATTTTTTGTGTCAATCTTTTTTATTTTCTTAGTAATAACATTCAGAGGATAATTCAACTTTCAGGGTATTATGTTTACTCTCTGTATCTATAGTGTTTGTATGTGTGGTATGTTTTCAGATTTATGAGTTTATATTAATCTTTTGTTCTGTTATTCCACTCACACACATATATTCTCTCTTTGTTTTCGATCATTTTTGATACTGAAGTTTTTGTACTGTTGTGTTTATTGTTATTAATACTATTATTATTATTATTATTATTATTATCATTATTATTATTATTACTTTAATTAGTCGGAAATCGGTTTTGGAAAACTCGAGTCTTACGCCAAACTGGATTTATTGGGTCAAGTAAGTGAATTATTATTTATTTGTTTATTATTTGTATTGGTAATTATCACATCATTAGATATAGATAGTGTTACTAAAATAATTGTTATGATTTTATTCGGTACATCTACGTTCTTATACGGCATAATTTAGCTCATATTATTTTGTGTGTATACTACTAACAAGCACTGTAATTAGTTGTTATTGTTGTAGTAGTTAAAAGTACCAATACCCCTCCTGTCAGCTTGAGGAATAGAAAAATATGGTTTATTTCCCGATTGGATCAGAATAATTTCATTCATATGAAGTGTATGAATGTTGTTTTAAGGTGAATTCGACTGATATTATTATTATTAACTCATTCACCGGGCTACGAATTCGTGTACTTGACTCTAATCCACACTTTTCGGGTAAAAGCATGTAATTATATTCTGTTACTTGAATCGTAATCGGTGGAGGAGATTGAACTGCCGTTTAGTGTTGATCTCATTCACAAGAGATAATGTAGTGTTACTTGTACCAGTTTAAATTTTATTCAGATGACCATAACAAAAGTCAGTTATTCCATCATCCAAGAAAAAATCACTGAAATAATTAAGAATCTTTTTTATCACTAATTAAAATGAGCTGAAGAATTGTTGTAAACTAAACAAGTACTGATGATATATGGTTGTTTCATCTTTACTTTAAGCTCCTAATCGGCAGTGTGTACCCATCCACGTGAACCTTTTCATGAAACCAATCCTAGAATGTTCAAGTCCCATGTTGTGCACGGTATCACCAGGACATTCAGTCACTCTCTCCCTTTATAGTGTCATCATTATTTAATATCATTAATGCGTCGCTGTTATAAACCCTAACTGTAGTGCTCCAGGCTATGCACTGTTCGATTGTCGAAGGTTAGAATGAAGCAAAAACCAATATTATTTTCCCTCTACTCTTAAATATGCCAGTCTGTGGTTATGAAACCTATCTTCTTTAGATTGAACCACATGTATTTGTATAGTAATTACAAACTATTCAATCAGTTTGACGATGGTCTACTTTCATTGGTGGTGATAACCATGCGGTTTTTTATTTTTTTACTGTGTCAATATCTAAGCGTTTTTCACTTGAATCAAGTCAATGTTTTTTAAAATATATTCTGAGTTTTATTGATTATAGAATTTTCTTAAATTATTCAGTATTATATTCATTCTATAGTTGTCATCACCTGACTGATCTTAGTTAAACAACTATTAAAAATCAAAAAGCGTTGTACGGCTATTTTGTTCTAGCAGGAAACTTTTTAACAGCTCGAATCCACCATCCCACCAGGGCTTGAAACTAATACCTTCAAATCTTGTGGAGAGCACCTAATCGTTGGACCACTGACCCCGACATCCATTTGTTTACATTTCTAACTTCAATTAATTCACAATATTATAGCAATTATCTTCTCATGTTAATGATTTCTGAATGTTATTCAATCAATAATATGTTATTTTATTGAAATGGCTATGAGAGTTGATGGATAGGTTTAGTTAATTAAAAGAATATCTCTTTTACACTGAATAAAACTTGATATTTTTTAACTAAAAAGAAATAATTTTATCAATAAACTTTGAAGCAGCAAATTAATAATTCACAAGAGTAAAACTTCATTCATATTCTTTTGTTTTTATGCCATGCTAGATAATATTGGTATATTTATTATTCAGCCATATTGTACGCTTCGCTATGTTTATTATAACTAGTATAAAAATGAAACTTTGCTTGATGGCTTTATGTTGATCCCTTTTGATAGTTTGAACTCATTCTGTTGTTTGCTTCCTAGTCAATAATAATCATATCAAATAATGTATAGTTCATTTATCAAGTACATGGATTTCATCTAAAGTTTACAAAAATGGTGATATCTAATTTGTGTCTGTTAGAATGGGATAAAAAAAACTGTATTCAAGACTACATTAAAATATTGTACGATTCCTGTTCAGTATTAATTTCGTAATTCTTCTAATTCAACTGGGATAACTGTTCAGCGTACCCTTCGTTCTGTCTCAATATAACATGCGGCATACATTTTTTGTATTAATTCTGTGTAAAATCTGTTTTTATGCTTCATCTATTTTGCTTATATATATATCGTACATTCGCCAGCCAGTCATCAAATGTTTGTAAAATCAATATATAAATAAATATACTTGGTTGAAGCTATCTCCGGTTCTTCGCTGGGTAAAATAAATCTACTTATGTCAACAGTACTTATCTTCTTTTTTGCAACGTGCGAATCTTATTGTTTCTCGTACCAGCTACTAGTTTTCCCCCAGATTATGTCAGTCTAACGATTAATAGAACACTAATCGACTATCTAAATTTCTCTTATTTCAATAATTTATATTCCCTGTTCGAACCGTATCTTCGATGTTTAAACTTTCCTATTACCACCAATATCTCTCTGTGCTAATGGGTATGGTATTTGAACTGATGTAAATACGTACCAGGTTCTACGTTTCAACTGGCTAACTGACTGACTGTAATTGTAGGTAGGTGAATTCGATTCGAAACCATGATTTGTTTATTCGAAAATCGTTTATCTTTAAAAGCATAAGTTCACTCTTTCCCACTAGTTATATTTAAATGGTAAAGTATACTTTGCCGACAAATCAGTCAGATTTAAAATAGGTGCGAAGTTCAAAACGCGACAACGAATAACTTGTATCTCATTAAGAACTAAGTAAAACCTATCGTTATTTCGTGACCAAGACGTATGAACGATTAATGAACGTTGGAAGGTTGAAGAAAATAATGAAATTTAATTTTTTTCAAAGCAATTTGACGATTCCTAATATTCCAAGTTAAAGAACTGATTTCATGAATATTCATCCTTATGGGAACAAAGCATTCTTTCACTATAGTCACAATTGATTGATCACTGGGTGGTGATCAATATCATATGTGTCAAGTCCTTATTAGTGCAGATCGAATGCTATCGACTATGTTGCAATGTGGCCACCAGTCTAGATGAGTCGACACTGCGTGCACTATGTTGAGATTAGATGGTGGTTGGAGGTAGTCAACAGGAAACCATGAACCCGGGTTCCGTGCTATTTGGCACTCGTCGGCAAGGTGTACCTGCAATCTTGACATGACATTGATCACCACCCTGTGATCAATCAATTGTGATTACATCTCAGTCCTACAGGAGGTCGGTCGCGGCCCGGATAGCTCAGTGGTAACATCTCTGACTGTGAAGCTGGGTGACACGGGATCGGATCCGTCAGGGAGCATCAGTTCCCCCAATATTACAGGTACACCTTGCTAACGAGTGTCAAGTAGCACGAAACCCGGGTCCAGGGTTTCCTGTCGTTTACCTCCAACCACCATCTAATTTCACTATAGTCCTAACATTAACAGTATCTGTTATCTCCAAATTTTAATCCCAACTTTTTTTTTGGTTAGGAGCTGGCTTTTTTTGCTAAGGTCATTCTAGGGTCACTAAAGGTCGTCACTACATTATACTTTCACCCTTTAAATTAAGTACAATTTTTTATTCTACATATTTACTACTTATTATTACCACCTGTCTATTACATAATTGCATGAAGAAAGACAGAATGTTAATAGTGATGATTCTGAACTCTTGATTTATTATACTGTTTAATTGTATAGTCTGACAGTTTACTTGAACTAGTGAGAGGGAGAGAAAGGGAGAAGTAGCATTCATTTTTGCACTATTCACTTTTTCCCTGCTGAGAAAATTTATTTGTTCTTCCTCCTTTTTTTAACAGTTAATCAACAGAAATTTTCCATGTGAATTGTATGTGTAATTATACCTTGATTTATTTATAAATTTCAATTCTATGGTAGTAGCGCATATACGTTTACACACAATATTATAAATACAAATCTAAGCACGTTTATACATACGCACAAATATAGATAAAAGTTTTTTACACGTTATTCATTTCATTATGTCTGAAAAGCTAAATAACAACATGAGAGATGTCAAGTACACTATTTAATAATTCAATTTATCAAACATTACAAATAAGCATAAAGTGTGATTCAGAATAGAGTGATGAGTTATTATACGGTTAGAGAACTTACAAGTTACAAGTTTAAATCATATATCGGTTTGAAAAGCTAGTTAGTCTCATTATCTTTCACATACATATTAAAATATTTGTGACCCTTAGTCAGTCAGTCAGCTACAACGTACGACCAGACACAGATATATGCTCGGTCCAAGTTGCCACACCTCATTAGCACAACAAAATGAACACCGAATTCATAGAAGTAGTTACTGCCATGATAGTAAAAAAGATTTCATATAAGGATATGCCTCAGGGAGAAAGAATTAGTTTGTAGGAAGAAAGGTGTAGAGTAATTTTAACCTCACGGTTTAAGGGAAGATAAATAGTGTATAGACCGTCACCATTGTGATGGATTCTGAGCCATATCACCCAGTCTCCAAGCATTGGTTACAATAGTCGCGTGGATCCCAACCAAGTAGTCTGCATCTACCAACATGGCTGAGACCATAAGTTAGTGACTTTGTGTACTGATGCCACGTCCTGGTTTGGCCACCCCTAACTTCCTTCCAACCGTCTCCAACGCTAGTGAGCATTGTGTGTCGTGGTAATCGGTGTTCAGGTATGTGTAACACGTGGCCCAACCATCTCAGTCGATGAAGATTTACAACCTCATCAACTGATTTACGATCATTCCCTAATACCCTGTGTCTAACCTCACTATTGTCTACCTGATGACCCCAGCAGATGCTGTCGATATTTCTAGGATATCTGTGATCAAATACTAGTGGCTTACGAATATCTTGTACTCTTAATGGTAATGTTTTTCAGCCGTAAAGTAGAACAGAATGAACTGCTGCGCAGTATACTCGTCCCTGAATTGATAGACGGATATCTCGCATTCGCCATAGGTGATGCAAATCGGCGAAAGTCAAACGAGCTTTTTGAATCCGTGTAGAAATTTCGTCAGACACCAACTTATTAGGAATGATAAGACTTCCAAGATAA